CCTCCCCCTTCATCTACTCTCCCTTCTCCCCATCCCTCTTCCACCTCCTCTTCTCCCTTCCCTCTCCCTCCCTCTTTCCCCTTACCTCCCCTTACCTCTCTTCTACTCTCCCTTCTCCTCCTCCCTTCTTCCCCTCCCTTCACCTCTTCCCTTCCCCTCCCTCTCCTCTCCCCTTCCTTCTTCTTTCCGTTGAGTCAGACACAGAAGCTCTGCATGCAGGAGACAAACTCCCTGGTCTATTTCTGGTCTTTGGGCTGAAGGCTGTTGGATGAGAAGGACCGTTGGGATAAAACAGTGACTTAGGGGAGCCAGAGAACTGAACAAGGGAAAGGGCCTCTGGTTCCACCAGACCAGGTGAGGAAAAGCAAAAGGATTAGGGGAAGCCAAGAAGGGTGCTGGTCTCATGGCTTGGGAGAGAAGCCTGACATCAGTTCTTCATGGAAACGAGAATCCCATCCAATCCTATTATTCCACACACAGGAGCCTGCGATGCAGAGAGGGAAGGACAGGCTCTCAACTAAGATAAACTGTGTTGGAACTGAAGAGGTGGATGAGAGCCTAAGAGTGCTGGCTGCTCCTCCAGAGGACCCAGTTTTGTTTCCTAGCTTGCATTCTTCTGTAACTCCAGTTCCAGGGACTCTCCTGCCCAATTCTGGCCTCTGTAGGCCCCTGGGCACACAAATGGTGCACAAACATACATGCAAACCCACATTTATAACATTTTTTTTAAATTAAAGATGTACTCTATTGTCAGGGTGCTTAGATGCAGTACTGTGCATATGAACTGTCAGTCTGAGCCTGTAAATTGTACATCTCAGGCTGGAGGAGCCGGGAGTCCTCACAAGTCTTGATAAAATGTTACAGGCTTTTTCTCTGTTGCAAGACAAACTCCTGCTTCCACTTCCTACCTCTTTCTCATACTCCTGGCCATCTCCTCATTCAGGAAAGAGTTTATCTCCCTCTGGGAAGCTGATGGTGGACACAAGGGTCCTCATCGTGGGGTGAATGCGGTACTGAGATGTCAGAACCCCAATCAGGACAGTGGGACCCAGGAGAGGCCTGTCTCCATGGCAGGGCCCAAGCAGTTGGTCCACAACCCGCTGCAAAGGAATCCCCTCCCCCACTCCCAGCTCTTCTTTCTAGGGGAGATTACATTCAGGACTCGGGCATTGGGAGTTGTTCTATGGAATATGGTGGGGTGGCTGTGCATACAGAGGTAGGCCTGGGAGAAGAGGAAGGAGGAAGTGGATGGAAACCCCGAGGTGGTGACCTGCATTCATCCCATGATGAGAAACCCTAGAGATGGAGACAGGCTGTATTCCAATTCCGGGCCCTCGGACAGGGCACCCAGCCCAAAGGTGGAGAGTCTGTCGTCAAGGTTGAGAACCTTGGCTTTCATCAGGTGGGTCCGGATTCAAATCTCTCTTCTCCTACTTAGACACTGCTGGGTAAGGTCCTAGGCACATTCAGCAACAGTTTAACAAATATTACCTATCTGCAAAGTACTGAAAAGTGGTCACAACCCAGGGGAGAATATTTACCAGAGGAACTAGGCTAACCCACACAACCAGGAAACAGGTATAATCAGAGTAGCCACTGGTGGTGCGGTTTCAATGAGGACTGGGGAAGTGGATACATCTGATTGCAGACAGCATGCCAGCTGTTAGCTGGGGCGTGGTGGCACGGGTAATCTAAGCACGGACAGGACTGAAGCAAGCAGATTATAAGGCAAGTGTGGGCAGTAGAAATTTACCCTGTCTTTAAGAAAGAACAAAAGAGAAAAAGCCAGCCGTTATTAATGCCATCTCGGGTGTTTTTTCAATGGCATTTCACGGAGTGGAAATACTGAAACAATTAATATCTTGATATCTGCCCCGTATTTTAGGTTTTAAGAGTACTCCCACACACATTGGCTTATCCAGGTCTTCCCGAAATCATAGAGAGCATGGCTCTGGTGTTGTGCTTTGAGATGAACCTTGGAAAGCCTGGCTGGGTGGTGCATGGTCTGAGGATCCAGCACACTTGGAAAGTGGAGGCAGGAAGACGAATAGTTCAGGCTATCTTCCATTACCTATCAAGTCTGAGGCCAGCCCAAAAAGGCATGAAATTTTGTCTTTAAAAAAAAAAAAAGAAAATTAGCTTTGGAAGGAGGTGGTTTATTTACTCCGATTACTTAGAAAAGAGGAGAGTCGGGATTGAATCTGCAGTGTGAGTCTCCTGACTATTCACTCCCCGCAGCTGTGATAAGGAGGGGCTGGGAAGCACCGTGGGCCCCCTGGGACAGGAGTTTGTGGATACCCTGAATCTCAGCGGTCACCGGGCTTCCTGGCCTCAGCGGCTGGGATGTGCTCCGGGGAGGCTTTCGCATCCGCTGCGTGACCGACCCTCCCGGGCCTGCCGCCAGCAGGGTTAGCGGCGCTGGCAGCCACCAAGGCCGGAGGACTCCCGGGGGACCCGCCCGGAGACTGCGCGTCCTTCCCATCCAGCCCACGCTCAGGCATCCGGGCGAGGTCTGGGCCCGCCTTCTCCAGCCAGGAGCCAAGCTCCACTGAGCAAAGAGCCCTCTTTGGTTCCCTCTTCTGGCCTGCGAGGGGGTGGGGCGTCCACTACCGGACCCCATTGGGAGTTGAGCCGCAAGCACCTTCACCCACCCCACTCCCTGTGCCTTCTAGCCGCCTCCCTGAGCCCTTCTTCCCTTCCCTGGCAGCCAGGTGACAGGATGCCAGCTAAAGAAACTGAAGTACAAACGGGTTGCTGGGAAAAGGGAAGGAGTCAGCGACAGAGTTACAAACTGGATCTGGGGTTAAAGTGGGGTCCCCAGCCATCTCCACAAGATGTCTTCACAGCTAAGGGTGTGGGTGGTTTCCCTTGCCCGACCCATGCTGGTATGCATTCTTCCATCCACCCTGTATGTAAGTGGCTTAGACTCCAGGCCTCTGAGGACCAACGGCTTTAGTCAGCTATGTGTGGGCCAATTCTCATTAGGGAACGAAAGTAGACAGGGTGCACGCAACTCACAGAAAGCATATTCCCCCACCCAAGGTCTCCAAGATTAACAAGAGGCATGAAAGAGAAAGCGCTTTGTTATGCCCCCCCACCCCGGGCAGGAAAGGTTCCTGTGACAGTTGGCTATCCAACACAAGTGTGTTAGTCTCCTGCCTGTGACCTCTCCGTCACTACTGCTGCTAAGGGAGAGGCACAGCTGCCTGCTCTTCATCCAAGATGCAGCCCCTTCTATCAACACCACACTTCACAGTTCGTGAACTCTTCAAAGAGCTCTAGTGTTGAACAGTGTGAATTAAACCGCCTGGGTTTGAGTCGCGCCTCCATCACTTAGCGGTTAGGTGAACTCTGTGTTTGGAGTTTGGGGCTGTGAAATATGGTCACTGCTGAAACCACTTGGTTAGACTGCTGTGGCAAGGAGGGAGTAAATGCAGGTATAGACAGTGTTTCCTGTCCCTGTCATGGGTTAGGACTGAGCCCCTGTGTCTAACAGAAGCCCGGATTGCAGAAGGGTCTCCAGATTCGCTCTTCTGGGGCTGACTTCAGTGTGTGTGACCAGCTCTCCCATCATGGTGGTGTTGCTGGCGTCCAGGAAGTAGTCCAGAAATCTGATCTTAAAGCAGTGGCGTATAAACTTGACCAGAATGATCCACAATGATCATCAGGAGCCTTGTCAAAACAGGCTGCTGAGCTGCTGGGGCTGTGATGCTTCTGTTGATAAAGAGCCTGTCGCACACGCATGAGGTCCTGAGCTCAAGGCCCAACACCCATGTTTAAAAACGAAAAGACCTGGACATAGTGGTAAATGCCTGTAATCCTAGGAATGAGCAAGTAGAGACAGGAGGACCCCTGGGCGTACTGGTCAACCCGTCTGGCCAAACCAGCCAGCTCCAGCTTCAGTGAAGGACCTGGTCTCAAAAACTAAGGTAGAGGGGCTGGAGAGATGGCTCAGCGGTTGGGAGCACAGACTGCTCTTCCAGAGGTCCTGAGTTCAAATCCCAGCAACCACATGGTGGCTCACAACCATCCGTAATGAGATTGGATGCCCTCTTCTGGTGTGTCTGAAGACAGCTACAATGTACTCATCAATAAAATAAATAAATAAATATTTAAAAAAAAAAAAAAAAACTAAGGTAGAGGAACCACTGAAAGGGCTCCGTGGGTAAAGACTCTTACTGAAGAGCCTAACACACTGAGTCCAGTCTCTGGAACCTCACAGTGAATGGAAAGAAACAACTCCCAGAAGCTGTCCTCTGAGCCCCCTCCCCCCAAATAAATAAATAAAAATTTTCAAAGCCTAAGTTAGAGGGTGATACAGAAAGACAGCCAATGTTGACATCTGGCTGACACACACATACATGCACACACACACAATGTACACACACATACATATACACATACATGTGCGCACACATGTGCACACACACAGGTTGTTGAGTTTCCCATCCTACTTCACACAAGTTTTCAGTTGAAGCTCAAGCTGGCAGCTCTCCCTCTTTCCTGGCCTCACTACTGAATGCCTTTACCAGACCAGGCACAGGCCCCAGGGGCAGAATACCAAAATACCCAAAATATCCTGGCAAGGCTGGAGGGTGCCCGCAGCCGTGCCTCCCTTCCTAGGAACTTTGTTTGTCTTGGAGTGTGGGGACCCTCAAGCTGCAGGCTACTGAGGCCTTCCTGGAGTCAGGCTGGGGCTACAGACTTTAAACAGCCAAGCAGAGCTTTGCCTGCCTTGGGCGGGAAAAATCTGGTGAGGGGAGCAGAAGCAAGCAGAGCACACCTGAGACTGGGACTAAAAATATTTCTTGACCATCTTAGGGACAAGATGGTAGAAGGAATGAGAGATGTCACGGCTTCTTGGTGTACTTTAAACATGAGACAGACCAGGAAATGCTGCCTAGTTTACAAACTAATGAAGGGAAGAGAATGAGTCCCTCCATGTCCCCTCATGTGATGAGCTCACTATGTCTCCCCCATTTGGGGCCTTCTTTTCACAGACAACCAGGAGAATGGAGGAGGAAAGCCAGAAGGCAGCAAGGCCCGGAAGGAGAGGACGGCCTTCACCAAGGAGCAGCTACGGGAGCTAGAGGCAGAGTTCGCCCACCACAACTACCTGACCCGACTCCGAAGATACGAGATTGCGGTCAACCTGGACCTCTCAGAGCGGCAGGTGGGCCTGGGTGCTGCTGTCTGCTCACCTTCCTTCCCAGTCACCCCTGCCTGGACCCCCTCCCTTTCCTCTACGCAGCCACAGCTGTACCTGACAATCAACCACCCCAGGGAGAATTATCAGAGGTCCACTGATGGAGACTCTGTAATTTATCTGGGATGGCACTTGCACAACCCAGTTTTTCAAAGGTCCCCCAGGTACTTCTCCCGGGAACAAGAACTGGGACATCTGTGATCTGATTTCCCTCAAATTTGAATCACACTTACCTCAGATTCACCTAGGCAATTGTTTAAATAGAGATTCTGCAAACCCGATGTGATACTCACCTGTAATCCCAGCACACTGGGAGCCTGAGGTCAAAAGATCAGTTCAAGACCGTCCTTGGCTACCTAGTGAGTTCAAGGCCAGCCTGGGCTACATGAGATCCTATTAAAAACAAACAAACAAACAAACAAAAAGCTAAAATATAATCCAGATTCCAGGAAACAATTTGGAAGTAATGAGAGGGAATGGGAACATTCATTGGAAGAAAGAAAGTTCTCAGGAGACATAGAGACGGGACTGGGTCCTAGGGCACTGAGGAAAAGGTCCCTGGCACCAGGAGGTTCCCTTGAAGCACCACACCTGCTTTTGTGTGGCATAACAGTGGTAATAAAAACAATCAATAGCAGTCTTCAATTGCTGAAGTACTCAATGACAGCTAAGATTCAAATCTTGCCTCTGCCACATCCTGGCCCCTGTAATGTCTGGGTTTCCATCTTTGTAATGGGATCATAATCCTAACGTCATGTGGTAATGATGGTCAGCTTCAGATCCAGAGAAACTAAAAGGTGCTCTATTCCTGTGAAGAAGGATGAGCTGGTGGTCTTCTGTTCTCAGGCCTTTGGGGAGTAGAGCCTGGGAGACTGGAGGCCTGTTGTCAAGGAGGAGACAGGGCATGTAAAAGAGGGGGGTGGCAACACACAGTGATGTCAGAGACTTTCCACCTCTGCTCACATCTGGAGACACAGGCAGGTCTCAGTGCAGACTGTGTGGTCTCCCTCCCCTCTCACTCCCTGGATCCTTGGGGGATCAATAAGCGAGGGTTCCAAGTCTTGAGCAACACAGTGAAGGGTGATCCCGGCCCTAGAGAGACCTGATCCCTTTGCTTCCTCCCTTAGGTCAAAGTGTGGTTCCAGAACCGGAGAATGAAGTGGAAGCGTGTGAAGGGGGGTCAACCTGTGTCCCCACAGGAGCAGGACCCAGAGGACGGGGACTCTGCAGCTTCTCCAAGTTCAGAGTGACATGCTCCAAAGATCAAAACCAAGAAAGACTGAACGAACCCCCTTTCCAATTCCCACCAGTCCTACCCTCACATCTTCTGGACCCAAACAGGGCAGCCTGTGCACACCTTGTGTTGACTCTTAGATGTGAAGTTGCCCAGTATGTGGGAGCCTTGAATTCCCCAGAAGATTTAGCCAAGCATCAACCTGTCACAGCAGCCTCTTCCCCAGGACTTCAACTTCCCATGCTCTCTTGAACCCTACAGGACCCAGTGGACGGACAGGGAAACTATAGAAACAGAACCTGGGACCCTCTTTTCTGGGTCTCTTAGCTGCTACCTACACCTACCACCCACCTCCTATTTCCAGGTCTCCTCTGCGTCTGGCTTCATCTGTGCAGAATTGATTCCTTGGCACCAGCTGGTGACTTGTGAAAGCAAAAACCTCTCCAGATGTTCACAGCATTGAGTTGAAGGCTAGAAAATGGCTCCTGTGTCACAAGAGCTGATGGATGAGGACCTAGACACGTGGACCTTGGGAACAGAAAGTTCTCAGGCTGCAGCATCCTGTGCTCTCCAAGGACTCTGCCTGCAGATGAGCACAGGACAACAGTCCATCTTCCTCCATAGAATTCATTTGGGTCTATCCTGCATGTGCTCCAAAAACTGTTTGTGGGAAGAACTCCCAGGTTCACACACATGCGCAGCTCAGATCTCAGACCCAGCTTCTGAGGATGTTGCCATGAGACCTGGTGGGCAAACAGCCTCGGGCTACAGTGTCCTTGGAAGAGACCCCTGTGCCTCAGTATGAGATGGTGGGTCTCCCAGGTCCTGCTGATGTTGCAGAAGGAGGGTCAGCAAGTATTTGAATTTCTTGCATGGAGATTTGATTGTGAGTGTTTAAAAATAACCCCAGTTCCCCACCCCACCCCATCAAGACAGAAGCTGTGGAAAATGATTGTCAAATGAAATGGCAAGTTAGAGCATGTATCAGTTTCCCCCTAAATCATACTTCATATGTTTTTCTTCCTAAGATTACATAAAGCTAATTGTACAAGGTCAATTCACTTTGTAAGAAAACTCTCAGAGAAATAAAAAAAAAAAAAAAAACGCAGTTTCCAGCCTTTTCCTTTATAGAATTCAGAGTCATGGCTCTCGTGTGTAACGCTGACTCTCGTCTAAAGATTACCCAGACAATGTCTAGAAGGAAAGGGAGAAAGGAGAGAAGTCACCTACACCAAAGTGCCCTCCCACAGGTGCTACCCGAGGTGGGTACCAGGCTGGAGAGATGGCTCAGTAGCTAGGATGTTCCCAGCACAGACATCAGGGAGTGCACAACTCCCTGTAACTCCAGCACCAGGGGGATCTGACATCCTCTTGTGCTGTTTATGGGCATAGCATCCAAATGTGTATATGTATTCTCTCTCTCTCTCTCTCTCTCTCTCTCTCTCTCTCTCTCTCTCTGTAAATTAATGTAATTTTTAAAACTTGGGACTGGGGAGGGAGCTCAGCTGATAAAGCACTAGCATACCTTAGTACTAGCATAACTTAGTGAGTTTCTGGTTAGTGAGAGACTTTATTGCAAAAGTGTGTGTCTGTGTGTGTCTGTGTGTCTGTGTGTCTGTGTGTGCACGTGTGTGAAGAACACTGACTGATCAGGGACTGGAGAGATGGCTCAGCAGTTAAGAGCACTGACTGCTCTTCCAGAGGTCCTGAGTTCAATTCCCAGCAACCACAGGGTGGCTCACAACCATCTGTAATGGGATCCCATGCCTTCTTCTGGTGTGTCTGAAGACAGTGACAGTGTACTCATATTGAAATAATAATAATAAATCTTAAAACAAACAAAAACAAAAAAACACTGTCTGTTCTTCCAGAGGTCCTAAGTTCAATTCCCAGCACAGCACCCACATGGTGACTCACAGTGGTCTGTAACTTCAGCTCCAGAGGATCTGACAACCTTCTCTGCTCCTCTGGCCTCCTTGAGTTCTGTGCATGCCTGTGGTACACATATGTACTTACTGGCAAAACACCCATACACGTAAAATATGCATGTGCACCCACACATGTGCACATGAACACACTAGCAGATACAAATAGAAGAATTAAAAACTGTATCGAAATGGGACTGGCAATATGTCTTGGTGACTGAGTAGAAGCCCTTGTCACCAAGTCTGACAACCTGAATTTGGTCCCCAAGACCCATATGTTGGAAAGAGACAGCTGATTCCTTCAAGTTGTCCTCTGACCTCTATATGTACAACGTGGCTCATGCATACACACACACACACACAAATGAATAAATGAACATAATTATTTTTTTTACTTGTGTAAAGGTGGCCCAACTACTTTTCAGTTGGAGGACGATGCCTGACATTAGCCAACAATATTCATTACAAAGTTATGATTCCTCAAAACTCCCACAGTATGTAAGTCTGTTGAGCCCAGGGGTGAAACAAAGCCTTGCACGTGCCTCACACAAGTGTTCACCACCTCACACAAGTGTTCACCAGTTTCTTTTGCACACTCCCTTCCCAGTATTTGATTGCTGCTTGGTGCAGGGTGAACTGTAGCTGGGGGCAGCTGCTCTTCAGGTTGGAAAAACTAGATGGGTATGGTGGTGTTTGCCTGTAATCTCAGCACTGGGGAGGCTGGGGCAGGAGGATCAGGAGTTCAAAGCTAACCTTGGCTACATCTAGAGTTTGAGGCCAGCTGGGCTACTTGAGACCCTGCCTCAGAGAGAAAGAGAGGGGAGAGAGAGAGAGTAAAAAAGAAAGAGGAGAGAAAGAGAGAGAGAGAGAGAGAGAGAGAGAGAGAGAGAG